GCGCGCCCGCCGCCGGCCCCGGCCCATTCCCGGGGCACGCTGGGAGTCCGGGCGCCGGACTGTGGGCGTGCGCCTGCGTGGTCCGCCCCTTGCGGGCGGCTGGCCCGGACCCGTGGGTCTCCTTGTCCCCTGGCGCCCCGCAAGCTACGCAAGCAAGGCCCAGCCCAGCCAACTTTCTTCCCCAAATGAGTAACCCTTGACCTTGTTCCCCAAAGAGCCGCCGCCCGGAAGGAAAGCTCTGGCAGAAAGGACTGGCCCGGGTCCCAGCCACAGGGCTGTCGGGAGGGGTGGGGCGTCTCGGTGATCTAAGATGGGCGATGGGAGACCCCTCGGGTCCCAGCCCTCCGAGAGTCCGTGAACGAGCGGACCCGTCCCGGGAAGGAACACTCAGAATTTTGCATACGCGCCGGGGCCCGAGTCCGCAGCGGCCCGCGGTGCACAGCCCCACGCAGGGTGTGCGCACCAACTCCGTCCTCGCGGTGCGGACGGGGCCAGGCGGGGCCGTGATGCCGGGAGGACCGGGGCCAGAACTCTGCCCCAGAGCCTCGACGACGGCTCCGTTCGCCGCCTGGGGGCCCGGAGGTGGTCACCTGCCCCCCAACTCAGCCGCTGCTAGGGCCCTGAGCGCCCTGGGGGCTGGGACAGTACCTCCTAGGGGCCCGGGGTCAGGTGGTCCCAGGGCTGATTGAAGTGTAAAACGGAAGCCCTTCCAGGCACTTGGAGTTCCTGTGTCTGTCACTAGCCGACGCGCCGACGCGGTGCGGGGAAGGCTAAGGACAGCTCGGGCATCTGAGGAGGGTGCCTGGGCGTTTTTGGCTCTAGGATGGTGTGCCAGGAAGATATCAGTGAGCGATTAGCTGCAGAGCGTTAGAACAGTCTTAAGTGTCCACCATGGAGACTGGCCGAGTAAACAGAATACATTCAGACTGCCTCACACAATGTGGCCGTTAAAATTGCATTGTATACATGATTCTTGAGTGAAAAGGATTATAACGTAACATACTAACTTCTTTCTACGGCTGTAGCCAATCACCACGGACGTAGTAGCTGTGAACAAGACAGATGGTTATCTTAGAGCTCTGGAGGGCAGAAATCCAAAATAAGTTTTTGAGGCTAAAGTCAAGGTATCAGCAGAGCTGGTTTCTTCTGGAGGCTCCAGGGAGAATCCACGTCCTTGCCTTTTCCAGCTTCTAGAGGCCGCCTGCATTCCTTGGCTGGTGCTTGGCCCCTTCCCTATCTTGGAAGTGTATCACGACACCTCTGCTTCTGTCCTCACACCTCCTCTGACACACCTAATATCATATTTTTGTTTTTTAAAGAAAGTTGATCAGGAAGGCGGCCCCCACCCAAAGCCCAGACAGCCCTCTGCCAGTGTCTGTGTGCCGTTGGCTGCATCTTGCAGGTCTCCATGCAGGTGTAAGAAGGCGTGGGGCACACCCACAGCGTCATTGGGACTCTGGGCCTTTGGTTTCATTCTCTTTGCTTATTCTGCTTTCTAGTTAATTATTTGGGAGGCCAGCACACTGAGAAGCCCCTCTCCTCCCCTGGCCCACCCTCGGCCTCCCTCCATCCTCCCCCCCTTCTCTGTCCAGAGACATCGAGGTAGAGGGGTGCTGCTTGCTCTCTTCACTCTGCAGCTTGTCCTGACCCTGTGCCAAGCGCTGGACTCACCCTGCCCTGCCCTCGGAGAACTCATCAGCTAGGGGGCGCTCAGATGTGACACGGCCCACTGGTCCATTAGCCTTAAGTGTGACAAGTCCTTCCAAGAGGCGTGAGGCAAGGACCAAGTCCAGTCTGGGGGAGTCGGGGAGGTCCCTTGGGCCACTGCTGAGCTCAGAAGACTTGGGGTGCTGGCTGGGAGGAGAGGGGAACTGAAACTGGCTGGAGCTTGGGGAGCCCCCCCCCACTGCACCCACTGGGAGTAAAACATGAACTTTTGGTCACACCCCCCAGCTTGAAGGCTACATCCTGGCCACTCTCGCTGCCCTCCCGGCAGAGCATTTTTGCTGGCCCTGCTGAGGAAGCTGTACCCTTGGGGTGCTGGGCTCTGAGAGGGGAGAAGGGTCCTCTCCCTAAAACGACAGAGGAGCAGGGCCCCAAACCACCTACCTCCACTGGCAACAGCTGGAAGCCCCATACACTCGGGTCCCACCCTCTGCAGGCACCCTAGTGACCAGGCTCTACCCGAGTGTCATTCAGGCACTCCACACAGACCGGCTTTAGAGGGTGAGGGCCCCAATGGTGAATCCACCAGGCTCTACCCGAGTGTCATTCAGGCACTCCACACAGACCTGCTTTAGAGGGCGAGGCCCCATGGTGAATCCACCACAGGGCAAATCAGTGGCCTCTGTTCCTGCCGCCCAGTAAAGAACCGCTTGCTGACTGACAGACTAAAGCCCCGGCCCTGCCTCAGCCCTTTCTCAGGTGATGGGTGGCTCTGTCTTTCCATCAGTCAGGCCAAATTGTGAGCCATCCTATCCCCCATGCCCGGTGAGCCATGCTGGTCCCCGCCACACACTATGAGTCATCCTACCCCCCATGCCCTGTGAGCTGTGCTGGTCCCCG